CCCCAAAACCCCAAAACCCCAAAACCCCGAATAGAAAAATAATGTACTAATTGGATAATTAAGATATTAAGATCATTGAAAATACTCTTATTATATCGATGGTTTTCTTGTATTACGTTTGGCATGAAATGTTGTAGATTTGATTTCCTGATCATACCTCTCAGGTGCATTGCTTTGAGTTAGCTTTGCAAGGTTTAGGTTTTTCTCTCGATTGAAGTCTTGACTTTTTTTCCTTAGACAGCCTGTTTTTAATTCAAATTCTTGGTCAACATCATTAACTTGCAGCAGTTCAACTTTCCTAATAATTTAATGTTTGCCATTGCTCTCTTCCTCGGTATCTGAGTAGGCATCTCTCATATTCAAACTTTCTTTTTTTGGAGGTATCAGATTATAACCTTCTTTCTCCTCTTCAATTTATTAGTTAATCTGGTTCATTTTCTATATTGCTTGATTATAGAATTAGTCTTGTTCTTTTTTGTTTTAATTTCTCTCATCGTACTCATAATCTGAGCTAGAGTTTTCCTCTTAAAAGTATTACATCGTCTCGCAGTTAATTGGAATCTTTTTCTCTAATTATCAATAAAAATATTTATAATTACTAATGACTTCTTAATAGTCGCATTGAGTACTGTTGAAATTTGTGAAAACTCCATCCTGATAATTTGGATAGGGATGATTCTAATAATAACATGTTATTTATAGTATTATCTTACATCTAGAATATCTTTTATGATTCTCCAGGAATCGACTTCCTCACCCATATATTTAACACATCTCGAGCATAAATTATCAATGTCCATGCTTGGATCACATTTGGTACAGAAATCTCTAAAGTAACACTATATTTTGAAATCCCAGCTTATTCTATGATCTTTTATAATTGAGTCTGGATCTACTGTTTGCTTAGTAAACTCATATATATTATCCTAGACAAAAGAAGTATTTAGTGCGAATCTACAGACTAGTTTGCTTTTCAAGCTACCTTTATGCAGCAGTCTAAAGTAGATATCTCCACAGAGCAGGGGATCTTTATCAATGTTAATAACTATTTTTTGCAAATGCTGTTCTCTGTTATTTTGATTCTTTTTGGATTCATGACTGTCTTGATTGTTTTTATAATTCTTCAAGTTCTGAGAATGTTTATTAGTCCATATCAGTTCAAAGTCTTTTCCACTCAAAACTTCAATATAGGGAGTAATGCCATCACTAGATATTTTTGGTACAGTGGTGATAACAATTTTCTCAAGAATTTTGATTGATGGGGACTTGATGAGTCTCTTGTATACACCCTCGAAGTAGTGAACATATCTCACCTAAGAAGGCTAAGTGACCCCACGCCCATGCTCAAATCTCATCCAGCCGTAATAAGTTATAGCATCCACTGCATTTTCAGCCAACCCACTAAACATTAGAAAACTAGCAATGGATGTGCCAGTTCTACCCTTGCCTGCATTGCAATTAACAATTACTATATTGTTCACATTCTCTAAATATAATTATTAACATTACCAATTTTCATTATTCAGTTAAAGTCTCATAATATAGCCTGAATCTTCCAATTCTAATACCACTTACACTTCAAGAATTTAAACATCTCTTAGCAAACTTCAAAAAGCACATTCATTGCAGGGGAATGATGGTCTTCCCACTTATATTCCTTGACCATGCCTTTGAACTTTTTATAATCATACTTCCTGCAACTCAAATTAAATATCAAATACGAATTCTTATGCTTTTCTTCCAAGAACGCAGCAACCTATAAATAATAACTATTAATTATCCCTCGTAATCAATGAATTATGATGAATCTAGCTAATGACCTTGAATATCATTTAAATGTGCACATGCTAATGATTTAATTTTGCTTACATCATTAATGTTATTTCTATAAACTTGCTCTAGACCCGAAGCAGGAAAACTCATACCGCAAACTCTGCGAGTAACATAGGTAATGTCAAGATCGTATTTGTTGTAGTGAAACCTGTTTCGTTTACCACTCACTAACTTCCTCAAAAAATTCATTTCTGTTTTTTTTCTCAATATATATACTACAAGATTTGCAGTTATTACCTTTTTTTATTAAATAAATAATTATTATAAAAAGTGAATTATAATTAGAAAAGTTTAAAATATTTCAGTCACCTTTAAGATATATTAAACATATCACTTGTATAATTTATAATACCATGATTATCGATATGAACATAGGATAGCCTTACAAGAATCGATCAAAATATCCTACAATCCTTAGTTCCACACATTGGAGGGAGAATATCATTATTGCCCTCTGTAATTATATGTTGATTTTGCTGCATCATTTAGCCTCTGAACTGGGGCTAGCCATTAGTACTGTACATAGAGTTGACTCTTAGTCTGCCTAGTTGCTCTTGCAAACTGTTCACCTCTTCATCTTTACGCCTCACAAGGTCTTAATACGCATTGATATTCATACTAAGTTCATTTTCCCTCTGCTGAGACTGAATCAACTTTCTTTGCAGATCATTAATAAGTTACTCTGTGGCTCCACTTACTTTTTGCTGAGACTCACCCTTCATCTCAATTATAGTGTTAAGTCTCCCTACCTCCAAATCCAGCTACTTCAGTTAAAGATCCTTTTTGCTCTCTTAGGATTTCATTATTCGCAGTGAGCCATCCGTGATCTTTTCAAGAGCGAATTTAGTCCACAGTTCATACTTAGTTTTACCTGGCACCTTGGAAAAATATGCTGTCTCTAAATCTTTCCAATCTTTATAGAATGACTATAAGTCTGAATATTGCTTTGGCAGTATTTTCTCTCTATACAGCTCTGCAAGTATATCCTTAGACTACCTTTCAAACTCATTTTTTACTTTAGTTTTGATCTGTTCATAGGTTTCTTTAATGTTGACATTCAGAGCATTTCTGAACTTTTCTTTAGTTGTATCGGAAATGCTTACTTGACTTGATATTACTTTCTCCAAAATTTCAAAGGATTGATCTTTTACAACTTTGTGCTGTTTTCCTAATGACTCTAAGTCTATTGGCTAATACTGCTGGCAGAATGTCTTCAGCTCTTTTTAGTAGTGTCTCGTAGCCTTGGTAAAAGCATGCTTTAACTAATTTTCAACAACTTCTGTCCATGCATCGTTGATTGTCGGTATTGAACCATTATTGATTGATTAGATATAAGAATTTGCTAGGATCAAGTAATCTTAAGACTTCATAGCTACACTATTAAGTCTAACTGGCTTTATTCTGTTAAAAATGTAGATCTTCAATTCCTCAACTTAGTCTAAGAATTCTGCTTTTATTTTAGATTAATTTTTCTATAAATTCTGAATATCTCTTTCCTCATCAGTAGGTCTTATCATGGTAAAGCAGTATCGATTCTTAAAGAAGCCCTTAATCAGATTTCTAATTCTATTTTTCTCTGCAATCTTCTGACTAAATCCCTCTGCTTCTTTGAGGCACAACTCTAAATATTCATTTGGTGTTATTGGATTTCCATCTTCATCTGCAAGCTCAAGAATGAAATCTCTTAATAGCCATAAAAACTATGGAAAGTAATCACTCAGCTAATTGGTGTTAGCACCTGCCCCATTGTTCAACTGATTCCTCTAGATCTGTATATTCTTTGCCAGGTTGGTAACAAGTGATAGGTTGGTGATTGCAGTCTCATCAATCACCCCTACTTAGTTGTATATTAGAAAAGAGGATAATAAGACACATAGTGTGAATATTTTAATGTCGTAATTCTGGTTTTTATCTACTCCACCAAGTCCTTCGCTGTCCATCACGTATATATCAAATATCTCCCCTTCTTTTTCAATAGTAATAGGTTCACTATAAAACCACAAACCTCTGGTGCAGGCGTTGACTGAGGAATCAACTGTAAATACAGGCTAATCTCCCACAAGTTAATTCATCAAAAATGACTTGCCAGTGCGATAGCATCCACTAATGCATATTATTGCTACTTTATTCTATGACTACTCAAAGATTTTTTGAGCCTCCCTGCTAATTTAAAACTGACCCTCTTCGTCTATAAAGATAAACTGCACTGCTCTCGCTTGGCCAATTTGACTCTAGTTAAAATGATTGCTGGTTGAGTTTCGATTAGGATAAGCCTAAGCTGACATTTTAAAATTTATATTTTACTCTCTCATAATTAATCTCCTCATGATTGTCTATCCTTGCTTATGGGGTTTTGGGGTTTTGGGGTTTTGGGG